AACCTCTGAGAAGAGGACAACCTCTGAATAAAGGACAATAGCTGACTTCCCAAAGTGTCCGCTCTTCGGAGGTTTCACTGTATGTGTATAATGGCATCTGGAGCAACTTCAAAAATTTATAAAAAATCCAATTTTAACCGGAATCCACTCAAACTTTCTACAGAACATAAAAATATGTATATGCGTCAGAGAAAATTATAAAATTGAAGTATTTTCTCCTAGTCATTTTTGGTAAAATTTGGCCAAAGACCCTGTACTATATTAGTAACGCGGTAGCGTTATTAGTAACGCGGTAGCGTTACTAAGTAGGATTCACCCCCAAACAAAATGGCTGCCACGACTTTTGCAGCCTTGTTATACTGGGAAAACGAGCTCCTATACTTACCAGACTTTATAGAGGACCTTATCTTGACCAGAGGACTCCAATGGTACAACTAGCGTGGCTCTAGACCTTGTCTAAGCGAAAAGTAAAAAATCAGCGAACCGGCCGTTTTGTTCAGCCACCTTTTTTCATCTTCATCATGGGACTTGGTAAAAGCGGGGTGGGGATGGGGATGGGGAGCGGGATTTCATTGGTAAAAGCGGGGTGGGGATCTGGATATTGGGAGCCGCTTTTCATCGGTAAAAGAAGGATCAGACATAGGATCAAAATAACTTCATGATGAAGACAGGGACAAGTCTGCAACTGGCAATGGTCTACTTGCAGTCAAGGCTCTATAGATCTATATGAGTTCATTTTGCAAGCCTGGACAGTATTATTCTAAGCAGAAGACCTGCATGCATGAGTAGGCCGGCAGGCTTTTGATCTATTTTTATGAAGTTGAAATTTTAATTCATAATATTTTAAGTTCTTCACTGTAAAATATATTAGCATCTTTATGTGACATGCCACTTTGAAATGCTAAAAACCATCACCATTGCCTAAAAATGTCATGGGTGTAAAAATAGATCAGTACTAAAACTTTTATCTGACACCGGCAATACTGATTATAAATTGACTGCTAATGCCTTCCTTATGGTGACATATTATTAGCTCACAGTGCAAAGAACTTATTTCTTCAAGGTACAGAAATATTGTGACTATTATAGTATTAATCATAACAATAAACCATGTTTGGAGAGGTTTGAATTGTTCTGCAAAACAAGTGACTTTGATTAAACTATATTAGGTAACTTACATTGAAATGTATGATGATTTGCAGTAAATAATGGCTCTTGAATACTAATGACATCAATAAAAGTATTAAGTATTGCCGTTGCATTTACCTTGCAACACCAGGTCTTTACAAAATATGTAGTTGTAAGTATTTTTAATAATTTATTGTTAATTGTTATGATTAATATATTGTAGTCACAATATTTCTGTACCTTGAAGAAATAAGTTCTTTGCACTGTGAGCTAATAATATCAGTGTCACCATAAGGAAGGCATTAGCAGTCAATTTATAATCAGTATTGCCGGTGTCAGATAAAAATTTTAGTACTGATCTATTTTTACACCTATGACGTTTTTAGGCAATGGTGATGGTTTTTAGCATTTCAAAGCAGCATGTCACATAAAGATGCTAATTTATTTTACAGTGAAGAACTTAAAATATTATGAATTAAAATTTCTACTTCATAAAAATAGATCAAAAGCCTGCCTACTCATGCATGCAGGTCTTCTGCTTAGATTAATACTGTCCAGGCTTGCAAAATGAACTCATATAGATCTATAGAGCCTTGACTGCAAGTAGACCATTGCCAGTTGCAGACTTGTCCCTGTCTTCATCATGAAGTTATTTTGATCCTATGTCTGATCCTTCTTTTATCGATGAAAAGCGGCTCCCAATATCCGGATCCCCACCCGCTTTTACCGATGAAATCCTGCTCCCCATCCCCATCCCCACCCCGCTTTTACCAAGTCCCGATCCTTTATTAAACCTAGCCCCGCCCAACAATAAGAATGCATTTTACTTGAATGAATTAAATGCTAGACCTGGAAGATTGTGCACTGTACAGTACGTAATTTAACTGTTATGATAAATGAAGAGTAATACAAGTTGCCATACAAGTTTTGTTAATATTGTTATTGATTG